GGACGGTGAAGGTGGATAGATGAGGTGGACTTTCCGAGGCTGATGAATGACTCAGAATAAAAAAGGCCTTAGAGGGTGGTAAGGGCCACACCGCAGAGGCAAGATCTCAGACAGGTTTGAGAACTGGATAAACCAAGGTGCAGAGTCAAAAGCATTTGAGTAACCGTGAGATACATGCAAAGAGTGAAGAGAGACATGTTCACCACCAGCAGAGGCTGAGTTCCAGGTATTATTTATCCCCAGAGGCTGGAGGTAAGGTCAGAGGCTATGCAGGTTCTGCCTATTTTAGGCACTTGTTTCCAGAGTGAGTTTCTATCAGATTGGCTGCTACTAAGTGTGCAGAGGTTCTTTTCCATTCTGCCTATGCAAGTGCATAGGTTTTCTTCATGCAATTTATCAAATGCTTGGCTATGGGAAAAAGATTAGTTTCTTTAAAAATTTTGCCCATACCAATTTGTGTTAAAGATATTATGTAAAATCATTGCAGGATATCAGTATCATTATTTAATCTGATATGTACTTTCTTTGGGAGATTTTGGCTTCCAGGATCAGAGTAGTTTACAGTATTTTATGACAACAAGCACCAAAACCCACACAGCAGTCAAAATAAATGAATTCATTTACTTTTCTGGTGTCATCACAAACTGGAGAGAGTTCAGTTCTGTATTTTCCAATGAAAAAGACACAGAGGAAATTGAGAAATACAGGTGAGTCGTCATTTGATGGCTGCCCGGACAGGAAGTGTCAGTTTTCTTTAAGGGTGTGATCCCTAGTAGATCAAACAGACTCTGGGACAGGATCTACAACTGGGAGAATCTGGACTTAAGAGGCTACAAAAAAAAAAAAATAATAAAGCTGAGTGGGTAGTGAGGTCTTGAGGTAGTTGGGAGGGTATGGATATGGTCAAAATACGTTGTAAAGAATTCTGAAATAAAAACATTATTTCACAAGTAAACAGATGAAATGCAGGTGAGAAACGGACACTTTCATCTCAAGATCTCAGGATTGCATCTGTAATCCCAGCAATTTCTTGGTCCGTTAGCCTACTAGGAAGATTTAGGCAAGGGCAAGATGACGGTGTTGGGAGAGGAATCTGCTGAAGTGGAGGCCATGCTAATGTTGGTTCTACTTTATATTTATATTGACCTTATATTTGTAGCTGTTTGTCTTACACATGGTGGCAATGTGTAAAAGGGAGGTGCGAGGAGATTGTGAAACTGCTTCTGAGATATGATAAATGTCTTTTATTGATTTTCATACAAGAAAAGCTTTTCCTTTTAGAAGAGCAATTAGCTCGGCCACACGAAACCGTGGCAGCCGGGTCAAGAGCATTCGCCGCTGTCTCAGCCACGGGTGGAGCTTTCAGCTCTCTGTGATCTCCCGTGGACCACATTCTCAGGCCGTGCGCTAATGTCTTTCAGGGACCTCTATCAGCAAACCCCGGTTTTATTAGCACAGAAATCTCACACGACTCTGAAGAGCCTTTCAGGGAGTATTTTAGCTTCTTGTATTAGTGGATCTTACATTTGACACTAAAACAGAACCTGTGTAATACTGTAAGCATTCTCCAGTTCTCCAAAAGTTAAGAGAGTCCCCTTTTTTTAAGTAATGCCTTTTAAAAAATAGTTTTTGAAAAGCGAGTCATGGAATGAGGTCAACAGAAGGAATATTTTGAGTTATCATAATCCAGGCAGGAATTTAATTTAGTTAATTTTTTGTTTTGTTCTTTTTTTTGGATGGAATATCCCTAATGAGTTTTTAGCAAATGCGAATGCTTGAAGCATGCTATCTTTCCTTCTCTAAGATGCTATTAGATCCACTCTTTAGTTAGCAAATGGCATTCATCAATATTCTCTTCTACACTATCCTCAAACTGAAGATATTTGAGGATAATACGCCGGCATGCTTTATTATTGCAGTGCATACTATTTTAGAAGTAACTTACGGATGCCAATTCTGCAGCCGTCAGACAGAAATGGAGATGAGAGAGTAAGTGTGCTATTGTCCGGTTTCTATGATGATGAACCTGTGGACTTTATTACTGAGCTCGAGCTCTACATGAACAGAGTGGTCCAGGACTTCACAACATGCATCAGCATGGCTCTTTGAAAAGAGATATTTCGTGCCTCCCTCCCTCCCTGAGCATCTCACCCAGGTATCCTAATGCTGGTGACCATAGGAAACATATCTTTCTTATGTGTCATCGTTTTTGTGTCCTTTTTGTCCACCCCTTTGGGTTTAACCTCCCCTTTTAACCCACACATTACCATTAATTACACCTTAAAAATAGATGTGGTAGGCCGGGCAGTGGTGGCACATGCCTTTAATTCCAGCACTCGGGAGGCAGAGGCAGTAGGATCTTTGTGAGTTCAAGGCCAGCCTGGTCTACAAGAGCTAGTTCCAGGACAGGCTTTAAAGCTACAGAGAAACCCTGTATCAAACAACAGCAGCAGCAGCAGCAGCAGCAACAACAACAACAACAAATAGATGTGGTAGATGAGATATTTGATTGAAAAGTTAAGGGGATATTGGTTGAGGTGCTGGGGGCAGTATTGTGCTAAGGTCCACTGGCTAGTTCCACTGAGTTCCTGAATAATAAAAAGGGAGAGGTTACTAAAGAAGAAAGGGGTCACAGAGATGGATTTCTGAATAAAGGCTCTTGCTGGCAAACCTGACCATTCAAGTTTGATCCCTGGGATCCCGCAGGTAGAAGGAGAGAACTGACCGCTGCAAGTTATCCTCTGGTTCTAATGTATTTTTTGCTTGGCAGAGGGCTTTGGGAGGTCATTTTTCCTCTTCTATAATGCCTTCATACTGATCGAGATCTTCAAGTTTAAGGGATGATTACAGTCTTGAAAATGTGTGTTACAGATGTCCTTAGAAAAGAAGACATTCCTTGTTTTTCTCATCCTTCCTCCATCTCCGCTTCCAGCCCCATCTCTTCCCCTACCTACCTCTCCCCGTTTCCCCATCTATTCTTCCTTCCTTTCTCTTCTTTCTTCCATTTATTTTGGATGTTTGAAACTGGGTCTTTCTAAGTAGCCTAGACTGGCTTTGAACTCACTATGTAGTCCGGTCTGACTTTGAACTTGTAATAGTCATCCCGACACACACGTGTGTGCGCACATACCCCGCCCCCCTTGAGTACTGAGATTATAGACATTGAAAACCACAATAGTCTGAGAAACTATTTTCTAATGAACTTTCTTTTCCCAGTGCTGGAGTTTGAACTAAGGGTGTTGGACATACTGTATGTATGCTCTTCTACTGAGCTAAATCAAAGTCCTGGAAAGAAATTATTTTCTAATATCCTTGGTCTGTTTCGGCTTTTGGTAATATGATACTGCACCGTTACACTTCATGCATGTACTACATATTCACTTCATTAGGTTTCCTCTGTTTGTTTGCTTTTGTTTTGCTTTGTTTTGTTCAGACAGAGTCTCAAACGTAGCCTGGGTTGGGGTGGCGCTCATTAGACAGACAAGACTGGCCTCAACTGAATTCACGAAGATTCTCCTGCCTCCACCCTCCACCCCCAGAGTGCTAGGGTTAAAGGCTTGTGCCATAGGGCCTCCCTCCAATAGGGCTTACTTCTGAAGGAAGGACAAACAGGTAGTCTCATTGGCTGTGCAGCCCAAATACCAGCAGCTGTGACTATTCCTTCCTAAGTTGAATCCTCACAGGGACACCCAGACTAGGAAGGCATTCTTCAGTGTTTTCCTGCTCTGCAGATGGTGCTGGAGTGGATGTGGATGCTTGGGTAGCAGGTTGGCTAAGCTGGGAGAAGCAAGATTGTGGGTGGAACAACTCACCATGGTGCCACGTCCACAGCAGTGACTGCAGTGTAGTGACAAAATGTCTCTGCGCTGGCTTTTGCCTGCTGAAGGATTGGGGTTAGAGCTTCTTGGAGCGAAGCCCCAGGTGGTCCCCCTGGCAATCAGCGGTCGAGATAGGACCTGATGCCAGAGGCAGATCTCGTATCTGGAGATGGCCCTGAGAGCGAGCCCTCCTGACACCTTGCCTGATCTTTCTCTGTATTTCTTAATTTTCTTGTTTATAGCTGACCGCTTACCAAGAGATCAAAGTACGTCCTTGGCTCGGCTCCACCGTTCATTAAAGCAGTCCTTGAGGAAATAAAGTATGGCCCACGCCACATGAGCCTGGGAAACTCTATTAATTATGAAACAGAAACGGCTAAAGTTGATATATTATGAGGGAATCGTCATAGTGAATCAGATTTAGAGAGAAAAGGAGAGTTAGAGAAAATTCCCCTTTATGGAAAGATTAGTTAGATCTCAGAAGCCCTGGTGTCTTTATAGTAAGAAGGAAAGAAAGGAAATTATTGAAAACATGAGACCAGCTTTAATATATTGGTATAGGAACTATCCTGAGAAAATGAGAAAACTATTAGGGAATATGGAGCAAAGAATAAAAAACTATATAGATGGAAAGCTAAACACAGGACCCTGGGAACTAGTCTCCCACGGTAGAATGTAAATAATGGTGTGAGACAGAATTCTAAGAGACAAAACAAAACTAAAAGTCCTTGCCAACATCTTGAGCACGTAGAGGGGAGCACGTAGAAAGGAGCACATAGAAGAAGCTCTATTTTGATTATGCTTAACCTTGATTTATGTCTGGAACCCTGAGTGGGGTGATGCAGTGAACCTGCCAAGTTCTTTGATCTGTTTTGTACAAAAACTGAAGCTTTGCAGAAGTAAAATGGCAGCAGATTTTCAGTACACAGTGTGTCTGTCTGTCATTTCCCTTGCATCGTATCCTGGCTATCCTATCCTTCACCTTGTTCTCCCGTGGATAGTGGTCTCCGAGAGGGACGGTCCGTGGCAGGTGGCGCCCGAACAGGGACTTGAAGGATAGGTAAGCTTTTCCCCCTTCTCTTTTATTTTTCTAATAGTCAGGAACGACTCTCACCAGGACGCTGCAGGTTCGCCGGTAAAGGATCACCAGTTAAGAGTGAGTAATCAAAGTATAAGGGAACCATGGGGCAACATATGACTAAGAGCGATAAAATGATGGTAATTATGCTGCGGCGACAGTTAGCCAAAGCAGGATTTCAGGTCGCAGAGGATGACATGGTAACTTTTATTAAGTTTCTGAAAGAGGTCAGCCCTTGGTTCATGGAGGAAGGGACCTTATCGCTAGATGAATGGAAGCGTGTGGGTAAGGAAATGAGGCACTATGTGCGTGAGAAAGGGGAAAAAACTTTACCTTCGGAAATTTCCCCCTTTGAAGGCTTGTGTCGTGACACTGCCTCTGAAACGGGAGTTACTTCTCCTATCTATAGTGAAGTTGGGAAAGAGGAGGGGAACGAGGAAGAAAAGAGACCATTAAAACCTTCTGCTCCCCCCTTCGCCTCATCTCATCAGCCCTTAACAGGGAATGATCTTGATGGCGACTGGGGTTTGGATGATCAGCAGGAGGAAACAGAATGGGAGGATGATTTTAGAGACCACACGGATCCTCCGGTAAGGGCAGCAATTGGGAATATCACAAAAGGAAAACCTGTTCCAAAGCCACGCAGCCGCCCCCTACCTCCTGTAGGTTTTCAGGGAGCGCTGGCTGAGGCACGTAAAACAGGTGATACTTCCTTGGGGATATTTCCTGTTACAGAAATTGGAGATAACGATGAGCCCATATGGGAGCCTATGCCCCTTAAAACTCTTAAAGAATTGCAAAGTGCTGTTAAAAGTCTGGGGCCTTCTGCCCCCTATACCTTACAGGTTTTGGATATGGTCGCAAGCCTTTGGCTCACTCCTCATGACTGGATGCAAACTGCCAAAGCCACATTAAGTCCAGGAGATTACATTCTCTGGCGTACTGAATATGAAGATAAATGTAAAGATTCTATAGTTCAATCTATAAAGAAGAGAGGCCCTAAGCCAACAATGTCCATGTTGATGGGCACAGATGACTATGCTCTTCCCCAAGATCAGGTAAAAATCCCACGTGATATATTGACAATAATAACTGGTAATGCCGTTTTGGCATGGCGCAAGCTCCCACCTCCCGGAACCAAGGGTGGAGCATTGGCTAGCATTAGGCAAAAGAATGAAGAATCCTATCAGGACTTTATTTCCAGGTTAGAGGAGGCAGTCACCAGAATGCTGCCTCCTTCGGAAGGAACAGATATGCTATTGAAACAATTAGCATGGGAAAATGCCAATGCTCTTTGTCAAGATCTTATTCGACCTCTAAGACAGACAGGGACATTAAATGATTTTATTAAAGCATGTATGGATGCCTCACCAGCGGTCGTTCAAGGAATGGCCTATGCAGCTGCAATGAAAGGACAGAGATTTAGCGCCTATGTAAAAAAGACATATGGAGGGGGTGCAAAAGGCATCACCACTCCTACTTGTTATAATTGTGGAAAACCTGGGCACATTCAAAGGGATTGCAAGAAATCCAAAAGCTCAGGACGAAAAAGTTTACCGGGCATATGTCCTCGGTGCAAAAAGGGAAAACATTGGAGTAATGAGTGTAACTCAAAATATCATAAAGATGGTTCACCTCTCACTAAAGAAGGAGAGGAAGAACCTAAAGAGTCAAAAAACTAGAACAGGGGTGTTCTCCTAACCCGACACCCAAGGGAGAAGAAGGTTCTCCGTCCCAGGGCATGTTAAACCCTGAGGCATCAGAATTCACTATTCATGATTTGCCTAGAGCTACTCCAGGAAGTGCTGGACTAGATCTAGCAAGCTCAGAGGACTTGCTCCTCTCCAAATGGGATGGAGTGGCCTTAGTTCCTACTAAGGTTTCTGGGACACTCCTCCCTCAGACAGTGGGACTAATCATAGGGCGAAGCTCTAACTACCAGAAGAACTTTGAGGTTCTTCCAGGAATAATTGATGCAGATACCCAAAATGACATTAAAGTGATGCTTCGGCCCTTGGCTGAAACTATACAAATACACAAAGGACAACGTATAGCACAGTTATTGCTATTACCATACATTAATTTACCCAATAAAATATTAAAAGAACAAAGAGGTGAAGGGCAGTTTGGATCTACTGAAGGGATCTTCTGGGTTAAGGAACTCAATGAGAGACCATTTAAAACTATTAAAATAAATGGTAAAAAGATAAGGGGTCTCATGGATACTGGGGCTGACAGGACATGTATTTCTAGCAGGGACTGGCCAAACTCTTGGCCGATACATAAGACGGGATCATCTTTGCTTGGATTGGGATCAGCCTCAGGAGTTATGCAAAGTTCCATGATTCTTAAGTGGGAAGATGAAGGAAAAACAGGACATATCCAACCATATGTTTTACCCTCCTTACCATTCACACTCTGGGGGAGAGATTTGCTGGATTCCATGAATGTTAAACTGGTTACTTCAGATAACCTTAATGAGCAGTATTTTACATAGGGGCCACTGCGGAAAAATTATATGCAGATAAAATAGAATGGCTGACTCAAGAGCCGGTTTGGGTGAGTCAGTGGCCCCTAACAGAAGAAAAAATACAGGCTCTTGAGCAGCTGGTGCAAGAACAACTAAACAAGGGTCATATAGTAGAATCCAACAGTCCCTGGAATACTCCTGTATTTGTTATAAAGAAAAAGTCGGGAAAATGGAGATTGTTACAGGATCTCCGAGCCGTAAATGCAGTCATGAAGGATATGGGGCCCTTGCAACCTGGGCTTCCATCACCAGTAGCCATACCTCAAGAATGGAAGATTATTATTATAGATTTGCAGGATTGCTTTTTTACCATTTCCTTGCATCCTGAAGATAGTGAACGTTTTGCCTTTAGTGTACCTTCAGTGAATTTTAGGCAGCCTTTTAAAAGATATCAATGGGTCACCTTGCCTCAAGGGATGAAGAATTCTCCAACATTGTGTCAGAAATTCGTAGCTCAGGCCCTGCAGGAGGTCAGGCAGGAATTTAAGGAAGCCTATATAATGCATTACATGGATGATATCCTTCTGGCTCATCCAGAACAAAGGACAGTTGAAAAAATTTTAACACAAGCCATTTATAAATTAACCCAGTATGGACTTGTTATTGCCCCTGATAAAGTTCAGCGTGACAGACCATTGAGCTACTTAGGACAAACTATAGGCACTAATTATATTAGTTCACAAAAATTGTCAATTCGAAGAGATAAATTGAAAACATTAAATGATTTTCAAAGGCTGTTAGGAGATATCAATTGGCTAAGACCTTATTTAAAAATTACCACTGGGACTTTAAGCCCTCTTTATTCTATACTTCATGGGGACGCAAATCCTAAGTCGCCTAGGCAATTAACCCAAGAAGCATTAAATGCATTACATATTGTTGAGGAAGCCATTGCCTGTGCCAGGGTTCACCAAATAAATTATCAAGATAGATGGGGCCTGCTGGTGTTTCCAACCGCTTATACTCCCACTGCCTGTTTGTGGCAACACGGAGTATTGGAATGGTTACATTTACCACATACTCAGGCAAAAATGTTGGCTGACTTTCCTTATTTGTGCTCCCTTTTAATTATAAAAGGTAGAATTAGATCTAGAGAACTATTTGGACGAGAGCCACATTTTATAATAACTCCTTATAAGAAGGCTCAAGTAGACTTATTATTACAAAATAATGAAGATTGGATTTTGGCTTTACAAAATTATACAGGTCAGATAGAATATCACTACCCCAAACATCCTCTCATAGAATTTGCTAAGACCGTGGAAATTGTGTTTCCTATCTGGTATTCATCAGAACCTCTAGATCAAGCGATATTAATCTTCACAGATGGTTCTTCCACTGGAAGGGCTGCAGTTTATACATATCATCATGGCTCATACTGGGAAGAAGGAGAGCAGACTTCTGCCCAGCAGACTGAAATAAGAGCAGTAATTTTAGCCTTCATGACATTTCAGCAGCCTTTTAATTTATACACAGATTCTAAATATGTAGTTAATTTGTTTCCAGCATTGGAAACTGCCCTTTTGTCAGGGAAATCACCTATATTACCTTTGTTACAAAGATTACAAATGCTTGTACACCAAAGGAAAGAGAAGTTTTTCATAGGCCACATACGTGGTCATTCAGGTCTTCCAGGCCCTCTAGCACAGGGAAATACTATGGCTGATTTATTAACTCGGTCTCAAGGTGTCTTTTCAATGCAAGAAGCACAAGAGAGTCATGCCTTACATCATCAGAATGCAAAGGCTTTGAAACAAATGTTTCATATTACCAGAGAACAAGCTAGGCAAATAGTAAAGCAATGCCAGCATTGCCCAGTTGCCTACCATCCCTTAAAAATGGGAGTGAACCCTAGAGGTTTAAAGGCTAATGTTATTTGGCAAATGGATGTGACTCATGTTCCATCCTTTGGAAAATTGTGTTATGTCCATGTGGTCATAGACACTTATTCTCATTTCATACATGCTTCAGCCCGAACAGGGGAAGCTGTAAAAGATGTGATTCAGCATCTTATTCAGAGTTTTCAAGTAATGGGTATTCCCTCACAGATCAAGACAGATAATGGGCCAGCATATACTGCCAAAGCATTTGAGCAGTTTTGTATGCAGTGGCATATTCAACATGTCACAGGAATCCCTTACAATCCACAAGGACAAGGGATTATTGAAAGGGCCCATCAAACCTTGAAGATGCAAATACAGAGGCTACAGCAAGCCAACAAGTATTATACTCCTCATCATGTGTTGTCACACAGTTTATTTACATTAAATCATTTAAATATAAATGATCAACAAAATAGTGCTGCAATAAGGCACTGGAACAAGGATAGAAGACAATCTCCATTGCCACTAGTAATGTGGAAAGATCTCCTTTCCGGCCTCTGGAAGGGGCCGGATGTTCTAATCACCTCGGGACGAGGGTATGCTTGTGTGTTTCCACAGAATGCCGACTCCCCCATCTGGATCCCAGATCGCCTCATCCGACCTGCTGTTGCAAAGCAGAAGAAGGAAAAGACGGTGGCGGAAGCAGAAAAAGCAGCTCCAGCAGCAAATGAAGAAAATGAAACTAAGCCGGCCCACGGCAGAAATAACATGGACGAAGATTCGTCATCTGACACGAGAAGCGAAACAGCTGCTCACTGAACAAGGAAAATCCCTGACAGCGTCTATGTATTTCCTCGCCTTTTTGGCCATTATCTCTGCTCCCCAAAGGGTGGAGGGAGTTTCCTACTGGGCGTATGTCCCGAATCCCCCTATCTTGCAACCCGTGGGGTGGTTAGATCCTGAGCCTTTGAAAGTGTTAACCAATGATTCAGTGAGAATGGGTGGTGCTCAGGATTCTGACGCACGAACTGGTTTGTCCTCTCTTATAACCTTTGAGGGAAGGGCAGACTCGCTTCCGATCTGCATTTCGCTTCAAGGGAGAGTGCCTTCGGGTTGCCTGAGTACACGCTACAGTACTTTTCTCACTGACGGGCCAGACAAAGAGAATGCAGGTAGGAGATGGATGTGGGAGATTCAGATGCAGACCTTGGGAAATCCTAATTATCATGACAACTTTACGAAAGTTCATGATCTACCTATAGATCCCTGTATAGGAAAATATAGAGACAAGAATCAATTTTGGGACTCTTCTTTGTCTAAGTTTCCTACATGGCTAGCTTGTGGCTTTTCGGATTCTGCGATGTGGGTTAGGCCTGTTGATTATGATTATGAGATATGGGACTATTCAAATTCTAATTCAGGGGTTAAAAGGAGCAATGGCAAAGGACTTTATGAAGATTACATTGATACCCATAAAGACAAGTACCACAATTATGCGTGGACTGGATTAGGAGAGCCACTTAGGCGATGGTTTTCTCCAGGATTTGTAGAACCCTACTGGTTTGCAAAACATGAAAATAAGACAAGGAAACATACTGATCTTTTTAGACTGGTTGCTGCAGCCAATATGTTTCTGGAAAAGAAGCCCAATCATACAAAATCTGAACCTGTCGGACTGAAAGCCTGTATAGCATATCCTAATGCATTGCTGTTAGCTCAGGCAACTTTTGTGAATATTTCTCAGGAAGGGAAGTCGTATAAAATAGTTTGTCATTCCTGTAAATTGACCAATTGTATAACATCGGCAGAACAAAAAGAGTTAGGTACTATGATCATTGTTAGACGCCCTCCTTTTGTGATGTTGCCTGTAGATTTGGGGAATGATCCCTGGTATGATAATTCTGCTATGCAGGTTTTAAACACTCTAAATGAGTTGATTAGGCCAAAGCGATTTGTAGCAGTATTAATTTTGGGAATTACAACATTAATTTCTATATTAACCACCTTTGCTATGGCTACTACAGCCCTGGTGCAGGAAATTCATACTGCCCATTATGTGAATGCTTTGAATAAAAATATTACTTCAGCATTATTAGAACAAGAAGCTATAGATAAGAAGTTGGAAGCAAAATTAAATGTGCTAGAGGAAGTAGTGCTCGTTCTTGGTCAGGACATTGCTAATTTAAAAACAACTCTATCAACACGTTGTCACGATGATTTTAAATCAATCTGTGTCACACCACTACCTTATAACACTTCACAGCCATGGGATAAAGTTAAGGCTCACCTACAGGGATTGTGGCGGGATAACGATATTACTCATGATCTAGCCGCATTACAAAAGGATATTTCTGCTATGAGTCAATCTCATTTACAATTAGGGGGACTGCAAGATTTGGCTTCGCAATTGGAACGTGGACTTAAGAGCCTTAATCCCTTAGATTGGGTGCAGTACTTTGTATTCATTGGAGTAATTATACTCTTGATAGTATTGGTCATCTTTTTATTCCCCTGTCTCTTAAAGTGCTTATTTTCTTCATTACAGGCAGTGAAACAGGAGGTGTTCGAGCTTCATTTTAAAAATAAAAAAGGGAGACCTGCCACGTCCACAGCAGTGACTGCCGTGTAGTGACAAAATGCCTCTGCGCTGGCTTTCGCCTGCTGAAGGATTGGGGTTAGAGCTTCCTGGAGCGAAGCCCCAGGTGGTCCCCTGGCAATCAGTGGTCAAGATAGGACCTGATGCCTTAGGCAGATCTCGTATCTGGAAATGGCCTTGAGAGCGAGCCCTCCTGGCACCCTGCATGATCTTTCTCTGTATTTCTTATCTTTCCTGTTTTCAGCTGACTGCTCACCAAGAAATCAAAGTATGTCCTTGGCTCGGCCCCACCGTTCTTTAAGCAGTCCTTGAGGAACTGAAGCATGCCCCACGCCACATGAGCCTTAGAAACTTTATTAATAATAAAACAGAAGAATAAAAGACTATATAGACAAAAGCTAGACCCAGGACTCTGAGAACTAGTCCCCCACGGTAGAATATGGTTAGTGGTGTGAGACAGAATTCTAAGAGACAAAACTAAAAGTCCTTGCCAACACCTTGAGCACGTAGAAGGAGTTCTATTTTGATTATGCTTAGCCTTGATTTATGTCTGGAACCCTGAATGGGGTGATGCAGTGAGCCTGCCAAGTTCTTTGATCTGTTTTGTACAAAAACTGAAGCTTTGCAGAAGTAAAATGGCAGCAGATTTTCACTACACAGTATGTCTGTCTGTCATTTCCCTTGCATCGTATCCTGGCTATCCTATCCTTCACCTTGTTCTCCCGTGGATAGTGGTCTCCGAGAGGGATGGTCCGTGGCACCATGGGAGTCTCACACTCTGCACAGCAGAACTGACGGCTTGAGCAAAATCACAGTAATGACAGATCAGGTGTTAGGGCTAGTGAGAACGAAAATAAATAAACACATCTAACACACAATTATGGAAAGGTCCCTGATGTAAGTGACTACGCACTGCTTTCCCGATAGTGCAGGATAGTGAGGTAATCCGAGCCCTTGGTTAATGAGCAGGTGACGAGATTTTTATGTTTGATGATATTAATTTCTGGGCCTGGACTTTTTATAGGTTGGGTGGAGACCCCAGGAAGTGAGTAAACCTCCAGGGAGAAAGGTGAGTAGGAGGAGAGCATATGGTTTGCCTGGGCTGCTGCTGATCAGACAGACTCTTCTCCAGCTGTGAGCAGCATCTGGCAGGACTGCCAGCCACCGCGAGGTACATCTTCAGCACACAGGAATAAGTATTGAGGACTTGGCAAGTAGAGACGTGTGGTGAGTTTTTGTATTGGGCACAGGTACAAGTGTAATAAGTTTGAACATTGTCTGCTAGTTGCTCTCGGCACGTGTACAGATGTATGGCTGTGCAAGCCTCTCGGTGGGGTATCCAGTTTCAGCTGACTGTTTTCGTCTCTATTCTAGGAAATTTCAGCTTTAAGCAAGGAACAAAGCTGCAGTTGCAGCTGCTTCCTGCTTTCCTGTGTCAGTTCTAAAAGGCTTGATCTCTCGACACCAAACGAGATGAATGGCTCAGAAGCTAGTACTGACCATGGGCACCCAAAGGTTAGTTTTCTATTTCTGGAGTAACTTTTGGTTTGATGATGTGTTTCCTGTAGCCTAGCATATGGGTGTCATGTAGCTCAGGCTAGCCTTAAGCTCACTATATTGTGAGGGTAGTCTCATACTCTTGATCCTCCTGCCACGACCTTGCAGACACCGGGATGACAGATTCTGGTCGGATTCTAGACTCCACTGTGTATTTGAGACAAAATACAAATCATCTGATTTCTCTGAAAATCAGTTCTGGTTCATAAAACGGGTATAATGATATTGGTTTCTCAGGGTGATGGGGGTTTGGGGAGATAATGTTAGGGGAGAATGCTTGGCGTGTTGGGGATAAAGCTCAGCTGCGAATACTCACCTAATATGCACAGAGCCCTTTGAGGTATTCCTCAGTAGTGTGTGTGTGTGTGTGGGAGGGAAACAGGAAAAATTCGGCTCAGAGTAAAAAACTGTTACATTCACTCTCATCTGCAGAGCTTGTAATAGTGTAATGTGTACATGCTCATCTGTAAATTGTTAACCGTGTGGTTAAAGCCTAAAAAGCTATAAAAGGGTCAAGGAGAGTGTCAAGAGAGGAGCTGGCAGAGGGATGAGGCCATGCGTCATGTGAAAGAGAGGAGAGAAGGCCAAGATGCAAATGAGGGCAGGGCTGGGGAAAGAAGGGAAGGACAGGTTCCATGGAGACACACTTTGTTAAGAGCATCCTAATGATACCCACTGCTGCACACAATGGCTAAAGACAGAGTGCCTGCCACAGGCAGAACACAAGAAAAGCTGGTTACCTTGAGTTTATCAGCCCCGATTTCTAGTTCCTGTCCTCAACACTAGAGACATGGCGGCACTGCTGACTCTTGGAACCACAGGTGTCTTCCTAGACTGGTTATTATGTATGGGTTGTACCTGACTAAAGCGATGTTAGAAAGTAGCATAGAGAATGCGATTTGTGGTTGTGCTGGGCGGCCTGTGAATGGCTGTTGTGACTGTAGGAGACACAGGAGGGCGGCTGCATTTGGATTCTTTCTGTACACCAAGGGCAATGTGATCAAGTGTGAGTGTCATGGCAACTTTGCATACCCGTCTACTGATAAAGGTTGTCATACCTCCTGCCCTGGGCTTGATGTGAATGAGATGGACTAACTCTTGCGAAGAAATGGAACAGTATGTAATTAAAAGGTTGGTTTCTCTGCCCCCTTTCATTCAAGTCTTTGTTAAATATGTAAAGCATACCAGGAATCCATAAGAGCTCTAAGTAGCCACCACCCCATGTGGCTGCTGAGTGGACATTTGAAATGAGACGTCTGTCTCATCTGATATGTGTTCCTAGTATGAAACAACACATCCCCAAGCCACTATCTCCGAGGAATTCCTTCCTAAAGTCAGAAAATCACTGTTGAGCCTGTGGAGAGTTTTTCCATAGAAAGCCAGAGTTCAGTGAGTTCTGAGGTGGTTTTCAGTCTCTGGCTGGTGAGCATTTTTTTTTTAATTTGCAGTAGCATTTTTTATAAGTGAGAATTTTATTTTTAATTTACTACTCTGTGACCGTATTTTCCACAGTAGTTTGGAAATGTTGAATAAATGAAAACAAAGGAAAGGGGTTAAAAACTATTCCATGATAATATATGGAGATATTTGGTCATAAAAACATTAAACTTAACTCCTAAATTGATAAAAGTAAGCCTCTTACTTTTCAGAATGTGGTAATTGGGGAGTTTAATTTTTATTTCATTTATTTCTTTGTGTGTGTGTGTGTGTGTGTGTGTGTGTGCGTGCACGAGCACTCTGCCTCCCGAGTGCTGGGATCAAAGGCATGTGCTACCACCGCCCAGCGATAGTTATTGAGAATTTAAGTTTGCATTTTGCATCTCCTGGGTATTGTGGTACTGGCTGCTGGGAATTCTGACATAAACCGACATAGCTGATTTTAGTAATTTTGCAGAGGAAGGTAAAAAGAAAAACACAACAGAAGTTTAAGAAAAACATAGAATTCCATATTCTATACAACGAAGATAAGTTTCTATGGATATTAAATGGAATAATGTAATATATAAAACATCTCTAAAAAGAAAGCTCCTTCAGGCAGGCACATCAGTGCTGGCCTCGAGAGAGCCTCTTCCTATATGGAGTACCCAGGAAAGTGGAGCCAGCCTGCCACATACTGCCTCACCCACCACTTCACCCATCACCAAACTCTTGGTCAACAATGAGAAAACCAGTGGAACTGTCAGACCCATGAAGGTTTCTGACTCCTTGGAGTTTCTATCTGGTGAAGAAACAGGCAGGTGAGGCAAGGACCTTGCAGAGCAGGGAGGGTCACTGACCTGTCCTGGCAGTATGTTTTCCTCTTTCTTTTCCCTCTCAGGGCCATCAAAGACCGCGGCAGCCTTGATCACTTGGATCCCTAGGGCGGGTCTGTTCTTCCTTCAAGCTTGATATTAAGTACTATTTATGTCTGTCCCTTTATTTTCTGTTCTCATCATCACCTTTTGACTCTGACTTGGCATCTGAGAAATGAGCATTTGATGTAGCCTCCTGATTGCATCTTTGCCAGCAGGCTCTCTCTCCCTTTCCTATATTCTGGGCACGGCTGACAACTTAATCTTGAGGAAATGCCATTTGGATCACGTAACTTCTCTGCTCTGAAGCTTTTCTTAACACTTTCCTGGCTAAGGAGTAGTTCTTCTTTTTGCCTTTTCTGTCCTTAGTTTGTAGAGAAACATACTCTGTAGCAGAGATCCTTAGCAGAAATTCAGAAGACTTCAAATCCCAACTTAGTGAGCCAACCTCTAGCTACATTGGCATATTTATGCTTTTATCCTGCACTGCCCAGGTATGATAGTCATTCTTGTCCCTCAAAGCTGACCACTCTGTGTCTGTGGAATGGGTGAGAATGTATAGACAAGAGCTTACGCTCTGGGGTCATCAGACAAGATTCAAGTCTCAGCTCTGACATTAAACTAGCTATGGGAATTTTCTCTTCAGTTTATTGTTTCATCGTCTTGAATAGCAGGAGGCAAATGGAACTTCGTATCCCTTCAGGTTGGACAGATAAGACATGCACATAAATCATTTTGTAAGTGCTTAGTCCACAGTGAGTTCTTAGTTAATCTTCTTCCTCTGTTTAAACAAGGGTCAAACACCACATGTATTGATTAATAGATGAACACCTGGGGACTTCTGGCTTTCTTCTACACCACTAGTTTCAGCCATTTTCTTAATTATCAGACTGTGGTCCAGTTATTGAACAGTGGTACTATTGTCTGGAAATATTGGATATGGACACTGAATAGTGGAACTGGGTGGACTTCTAGATACCACTCTCTGTAGGGTCTCTGAGGTCCCTTAGGTTTGTACCGTAGACCTTGGGAGTAATTTGAAAATCTGACCCATCATTATGTCATCATTATTGCTTGCATATCACTTACCATTCTTAATTAAATGTCTATTGTTTATTAATTGATTGCTTTGTTTTGTCAGTGAAGTACAGTAAGAAGGGATTGAAGCTAAGGACATAGATTTATCTAGTCACATCTCAGTTCTCATATTCCTAGCCATCTCTCATAAGGTCTCCATAGAGTTAAGTTTTCACAGAGGTGGAAGTGTTAAAGTTATATACAGATTTCTGGTCTACACCCAAAAGTGTTGAAATGGATATCACCCCAAGGAAATTCTTTTGTGGGTTGCCAAATAGGATATAGAATGAATAATGAAATTTAAATATCAAAAAATGTATGAGATATATGGGCCATACTTACCTTAATTATTGCTTACATGAAGCACAAAATGTCAACAGGTTTCCTATACTTTTATAGCTCTGTTGTTGCTAAGATCACTCCATCTTCAGGTATTGGTATCAATTCCTGTGCAGATGTCACATTTATTCTGACACATTTATGGGACCTCTTCAGATCTCTGTATTAGGGTGTTCTCAGAAACTCTTGCTCTTCTTCATAGCCATGGAGCCAGGTTGGACAGGGAATGCCCAGAGGACAACTTGTATGATGGCAGACTAGAGACAGTTACTGATTCCTTTCGGTTCCCTTTGCTCATTTTCACTGATCTTGAAGTTTTTGTCATGAGCTAATGTATTTGATCTTTTACACACTAGGAATAAGAATCACATGTGAGCATTTTGGGGCTGAAATACCAACTTTAGTTGTTGTCTTGGGTGATGGAAAAGATGATTGGTCAATCCATATGGTGTTTGTTTTCCTGTACTTGTCAGTCATTTTCCACGGAGCGGTTTATCTTTTCATTTCTGAAACTGAGGCTTGTACCTACACATCTGTCCCTTTTAATTTCTGTTTTTTACACAGTTTTCTGTGTAATACTGATTTCAAAGGCAAGATATGGCATTGGATTTATTTTTCCATGTGTTTAATTTACAAATAGGATATCCTAGGATTCTTTAGTCTAACTGAAAAATTAAAGATTTTATTCAAAATCATGCAGTTTGGGGCCATTGATGAGCGAGGAACTCAATTCAAGGGAAGAGCTGGATCATGAGACAGGTTGTTTTAATGTTGTGTGTGTAAATGCAAAGGATAGTGGAAGTGGAGGTAGTACAGACTAAGACTGGAAGTTCAAGGTCAAGAGAAGAATCACTTCCAAGATCAGCTTTAGTGGCCTTAACTGCTCCCTTGTAAGCCTTGGGGTTAAAGCTGTTTATTTCTCATGATGACATTGATACATGATACTTTATTTTGTAACCAGGCCTTTTGCAGAAAAACACGATCTCTGTATTTTTCCATCTTTTTTATTTGTTTTTCAAAGGAAAAATTTAAGCAAATTAAAAAATACAGCAAATAATATAGTTATGTGTGCCTTTAATCCCAGTACTCAGAAGGCAGAGGCAGGTGGATCTCTGTGAGTTTGAGGCCAGCCTGGTCTATAAGAGCTAGTTCCAGGACAGGCTCCGAAGCTACAGAGAAACCCTTTCTAGAAAAACAAAACAAAACAAAAATCAAAAAATATAGTTTGTCAGTAGCTAATTCAACACTAAT